GCCATTCCAGTAGGCCGACATGCTAAGAAACGATCCAAAAGCCTCTGCAAGTGACTCATTTTTGCAAAAATCCTCTCAGGCTTCCATTCCCTCAATGGAGTGACAGCCTTGTCTTCCTCTCGGCCATTTGCTTCACCAACATCCCCAAATGACCTAGTCCTCCTCATCCTAGGTTCATCTTTGAATTCTCCATAATCATAATCATATCGACTCGGTGGGGACCTGAATTTATCATCCCTTGGCTCATACCTAACAATCTCACCACCATGACCACTACCCCCACCATTGATCTCCTTACCACCTTGCTTCCTCTCAAACAACACCAATTCCAACCTCTGATCCAAATACAAAGCAAAAGTCCTCACAAAAGCCGAATGATCCCACGAATTCGAGTGAGCCTCATCCCTAAAATCCGACATATTCAACAACCTAGTCCCCCTTCGAGTCGCATACAAGATCTCCTGTTGGAAAACAGGATCTCCATCATTCATCAGCCTATGAACCAACATTAACGCCTTCAATGCCACAACCCAATCCTTGGTCTTCCCTAGCCTCCTCGAGATAGATGTTATACAGGCATTCACATACATTCGATTATAAGAAGTAAAAGTCAATATCCTCCTAACATACTTCTCATCAGCCGGATCATTTTCGTGACTCGTCGCCTTAACAATGGCAACCTCGAGCTCAGGCGCCATATCACTGGACACCTTCGCCAGACCAATACTCGTTTGGTCCTTCAGCTGCCCTACTGCCTTCCTAAGAGCCATTTCTATCTCTCCTCAGCCAAATGACCCTTTTCTTCAGATCAAATTATAATAACCTAACAACAACCAAATCATTGAATTTTCCAAATAAATGAACTCATAACACAAAATTAATCACCCCCATTTCATTAATCATAATTACACAACAAAATTTAAAAACTTTACCCCTCTAATTATATACAATTAACTTGTCACACATAACATAATCACCAAATTCATCAAGAGTAAGATTAATCACATTAAATGTCATTATATTAGATTCAATCAACTTATACAAAAAAACACAATAAATTCCAATTAGTTTCTTCGAATCTAATTAATCATCAATTCATATTAAATGAAGTAAAAACTAAATTAAAAAAACAGAGAAAAATCCAACCCAAAAAAAAACAAAAATGAAAAATTGAAAACATACCGACGAAATAATCACCGATCTGAAGAAACGACGTCGGATCCGTTGACTAACAGAGACAAAAATGGACTCTTGGAATAACCTTGAACCGGATCCAAACTTGATCCTCTGGATCACCCTATATTTTCTCTTCCCCTTTTTTCTCACAAAACCCGATTTAATTCAGCTGCGATAAATGAGGGGAAAACCTAAATTTATTCAATTCTCCATGATTTTTAATTTTAATTAATGGGTTCTGTTTATTTTTAAACGAGAAAATCTGGTTTACTTTAGTTTGGATTTTCTGAGTTCTGAAAGCTCAGAGAAATGAGGAGAGAGAAAGTAGAGAGAGAAAAAAAAGAAAGATTATTACAGAAAAAGGAGAGAGATAGAAGACGGTGTATGTTAAGTTAAGATGATGAGATGGAAAATTGGTGGGGAGGTTGAATAATAGCCGTTGATTTATAATTGAGATCTATAATTAAACTGTGTCGGAGAGAGTTGGAGTGTGTCTGTCTTTTACGCGCTTTTTTTTTTTTTTTTTTTTTTTTTTAGGTTTTCTTTTTCTAGAGTTTCGCCTGCTTTTTTGGATTACAATATGAAATTAAAGGTTATTTTGAAAAAAATAATAAATAAAGGTTACTCGTATTGATTAAGGTTTGAAATTCTATTAGAAGTTTATTAATAAATTTGGACTTGTTTATTGGGTGTTTAGCTTCCTCATAGTTAATATTTTAGGGTTTTTTTTTTCTTTTTTAACGGAGTTAGTTTAGTTGATTGACGTCTTTAAATTTGAGTGAAATGATATGGAGTACTTAAGATCTAATTTCGTTATAATAATACCGAGATCTAGTATTCTAAAGTTTGTTATATACCTCATGTTCCTTATTAGTCGCCTTTTTTTTTTTTTTTTTTTTTTTGAGGGAAATGTTCCTTATAAGTCGCCTCATTTGGTTACTTTTATAGCTTTTTCATTGTATGCTATCAATTATATTTTTAATTTTATGTTATTTATATTATAAAAAGCTAATACTCCATATAATAAAACTACATATGAGACATATGAATTAAATATATGAGTTTGCATGGGTTTATTGCTTAGTTAGTATATTTCAAAGTTAATAACATAAATCATGGTTAAGATTTTACTATATTAAGATGATACTTCGTACATTCAAACAAAACAGACTATCTATTGACTGTTAAGAACCGTTTCTAGAAAAAAAAAAAATCTTACATACTACGTATCTATTAAGGATTAAGCAATTATTCCTCTAAAAAAACCTAAGCAATTATTAAAGTGAACTCTGTTTTAAATTAGCATTTGACAACCAATTACTCCTCAAATTCTTCATGGTAAGGTCGATTGCTAGTGCATAGTTCTAGGTGGAGTAAGGTGGGCATGGGTCGCGCGGGCGACACAGGCTCGGCACGGCCCACTTGTGGGCCGTTCCGTGAACACAAGTTTTGAAAATTGGCACGGACGCAGACGATATGGTCGTCAACCCGTGGGTTAGCACGCCAGCACGACACAAATTATCTATATAAACTTAAACATTAATAATTTATACAAACTTAATTTTAAAGTAGTTAATATATATATATGACACGGCCCGCCAGGCATGTGGGTCGTGTTGTGCCGTGGGCTGGGGTGTGCCAAAAATTGGCACGACCCGCGGTAGCCCGACACGGCGTGATGTCCATGTTTACTGTTGGACATTGATCGAAAAAAGGAATAAACATGCTTTGTGTTGTTAAAAATACACATTATTGAACTAGATATTAAACTAACAAATTTACAAATTGATAAAAAAAAAAAAAGAAAAAAAAGAAAAAAGAAAGAAAGAAAATTGCCAAATGGACAAAAATCACAAGTTCATTACAACATAAAAGAAACCAGTAAATGAGTGGAAGATAATATATTTCCTCCGTTTTTCTTTTATTGTACCATAAGGACGTTTATACTATTCACTTAATCTTCTTTGACCATCATTTGTGATTTATCCATTAGGAAAAACATAGTCATGTGGGATTTAATTAGATACGTCTCGAAATTTACTTTTCAAATATCAGATTTTTATAATTTTTACAAAAGTAAAATTAATAGTTAAAGTAATGCATTGGAAAGTGTGAAATCCCTCATAATGCAATAAAAAAAATGAACGGAGAAAGTATATGAATTCAAAAGGTAGTGAGTCCAAAAAGTATATATTTTTATGAGCGACCAAACAATCCAAAATTAAAGTGAATAATAGGTGGAAGATAATATGATTTGAGATATTCGTCTAATTATTAATGTGATATCTGCATAGATGGTAATTACTAATTAATATGATTTGAGAAAAATTAGGTATTTTTAACATACACTAACTTCTCTATAGAAAAGGCATGAAATCACCACGATTCTGATTAGATGTAGAATATATTGAGTGTGATAGATGGTAGAAAAACCATATCTTTAATTAATTTCATAGATTGGAGTTATTATATGGTTTCAAAAAAAACATTCTAATTATTGAAGTGATATATACACATGGAATTTGAATTCTTGACTACGCAAGTAGGGAGTACTTTGTAAAGAAAGATTGGCAAGGGAATCCTACTGTGAATAAAAAATTAAAAATAGAATTATTATAATAAATTAAATCAGAACTAATTGACAGAAAAAGATCGCGTGGCCTAATGGATAAGGCGCTCGCCTCCGGAGCGGGAGATTGTGGGTTCGAGTCCCACCGTGATCGTTTTTAAAGTTCAATCTTTTCACCAATTACCTCTTTTATTTTTATTTTTTAATTCAGAAATAACTGTTTAGAGTGACCTATATTATAAAGTAATTGCACACTTCTTGTATCTTATTGTAGGGGTGAGCATGGGACGGGTACCCGTACCGTTAGTAGTAACAGTTCGGGTACCCAATAACCAAAATCACTAAAAGTGATACCCATACTCGAAATCGATAAGTTCGGGTACCCGGACTTCGGGTACCCGGAATTTTGGATCGGTTATCGGGTACCTAATAAAATATCCAATAATGATAATTAAACTTAATTATGTAGTTATTATGATATAATTTACAACAATACCATATGATCTTGACCAAATTATTAATAACACTACTAATCATTGATATTATAAAGTGATTATGAAGTAAAGTAAAAGTTTAGATTTATATTAATAGAGTTAAATAGGGAAAAAAAACAAAAAAAAATGTTTATCGGATTGGGTAACCATTAATTTTAAAATGATACCCATAATCATACCCGATAACAAATTATCGGAACGGATACCCGCACCGTTAAGGTTATCGGATCGGGTACCCTAATTTTCGGAACGGTTACGGATCGGTTTTTCGGATTTTCGTTTTTTTCGGGTAGTTTTGCTCAACCCTATCTCATTGTATACATTTGAGTATTTGACTATTGCTCCATAATACCACCTCCCACGGTGATCATTTTTTAAAGTTCAATCTTTTCATTAATTAACTCTTTTTTTTTTTTAATTTTTTTAAAAAAAACAAGTTCCTCTTTTCTAAACTTATAATTACGGGTGATTGTTAAGAGTCACCTTTAATTAAACTAAGGGGACGTTTGGTTCGGAAAATAAAAACGCGATGGAAAGGAAAAAGTTTAAATCGTTACTCATCGCAATTTAATTTTTAATACTCAATATTGTTTTTGCATTTCATTAACGGAAAATGTGCAATAACCCCGAGCATTATCCGATCTCGCTTAAATTATAAATAGTACATTAGTTAATACAGAGTAACATAACAACACAAATAATTTCACGTTATTACAATTAAGCTCAATTAATGGAGGGTGCATCAACCCCGACAATTCCACCGTGATTATGTTTGTCCCTTATAAAAGATGTGACATCTATTAACATGAGATGTGGGTACCCGTACACTCCTAACTTAAAATACATCCATTTTTTCAATCTTTTCCAAGTGCCCATTTCTTCCTCCCTTAAATTAAGCAAACAAATCCTCATTTTTCCTTCCTACTTCATCTCTCCAAATCTAACTCCTTTCACTCTCAAACACACACTTGAAAAAGATGGCTAAAAACCATCTTCTTCTTTCTTTCTCCTTTTTCTCAGTACTAATTATTGCTCAAATTTCACATATTTTTGCCAAAAACACTTCTAAATCCCCAATTGTGATCCAACCTTATATTATCGATTATCGAAACGGCACCGTTACAAAGTACTACAACGGCCCGGCATCTTTTGTTCCTCCTCCTATTGATTCTCAAGTTCAATCCAAAGATATCGTCATTCCTTCACCTTCGTATCACAATCTTCGGGCTCGGGTTTTTCTTCCGGCCCGACCTGACCCGTCCCGGAAGATCCCTGTTCTTCTTTACTTCCATGGGGGAGCCTTCTGCATTGGCTCCGCCTTCGGTTGGGGTGATAGTCATTACGTGGCAAAGGTCGCGGCTGAGGCCCGGGTAATTGCGATTGCTGTCGATTATCGCTTGTACCCGGACTTCACGGTTCCCGCGCCTTTGGAAGACGCATGGGCTGCCCTCGAGTGGGTCGCAGCCCATGCGTCTCGTGCCGGGCCCGGGCATGACCCGTGGGTGGCCCAGTACGGGCATCTCGGAAGGATCTTCGCGGGAGGGGATAGCTCAGGTGCTACAATAGCTCACAATTTAGCGGTTCGGGTCGGAATGGGCCACGGGCCGCACCTTTCGGGCCTGTTCTTGGCCATGCCTTACTTCCTCGGGTCAAAGCGGGTTCCGCTCGAGCCCAAATGGTTCCCATTTTCGCCGAATTATAAAGTATGGCCTTATGTATGCAATCATTGCAAAGGCGGGGTTAATAACAAGTTCATTAACCCGTTTGGGCGCGGGGCCCCGAGCATTGCCCACCTCGGCTGTAAGAAATTGTTGGTTTACACAGCCGAGGTGGACGAGCTTCGGGGCCGTGCAATATGGTATTACAAACGGGTTAGGACTAGCCGATGGCCGGGTCAAGCCCGATGGATTGAGGCCAAGGGACAATCTCATATTTTCCATATATCGAAACCAGATGATCCAGCAACAACTAAACTGATTCGGGATTTATCAGCATTTGTTAATTCTAATTGAGGTTTTTGTCTTGGTGATCAAATTATGTACGGAAAAACTTTATTATATAAACAGCCATATTGCATTGATAACATCTTGTCGACAAAGTTCGTATAGTATTAATGTATTATAGGTGCGAAACACTTCAAAGAGTTATTGTTGGTTACCTGGTTGGTTTTAGATAACCTCAATGAATTAATGTGTATTTACGTATTGGGAATTTGGAAGAATATAGATTAGAACATTTTGCATACAAAGTAGAGAGCACGAGTATTATTTTATGGCCGTCTAATATAGAAACGGAGGGAGTAACGTGAATGCGTGATAAGTGAGATATCGAGAGTGTTACTTTAACTTGATTAGTTGGTTGAAAGGTTGCTTGTTGTTGACACAATAATGCATAATTAAAGGATGATATTCAAAGGTTTTAGACAGTCTTGTTTTTGGTGTTCAACCTTAATTTCTTTCGTGGCCTTTCCTCTTTGTTTCTTGGTTCTTCTAATTTTCCCCACTTTTCATGTCTTTTTCCTTTTTGTTGTTTGTTTTGAAGTGTTTTGTACTTTTAGACACGAAGCATCTTTTTCAAAAGAGAGTAGAAATGACAAATGATTATATGAGCAACTTATCATAAAATGAGGATCTTTTGGCCTTTGACTTGAGTGGGCTTTTGACCCATGTTGCACAATAACAACTTTGAACTTCATTTAGTAATATTTTAGAATTTGGGCCAAAATGAACTTGGACCTGGATAGTTTGTAACTTTGTATTGGGATTTATGGTCATTTTGTGCACACTATTCAATCCTTTAGATTATTCGACTTAAATATTTATTCCAAAATATTTTGTTACTTGCTACAAAGGAATAAGTCTTATACGTCTTGACATAAAGGTGGTTTTACCAAATTGTCGCTTAGGGTTTATTTTTTTACCAAATTGTCGCTAAGGGTCTTTTTTATTTACCAATCTGGTCAATTGGCCCAAATATGACATAAAGGTGGTTTTGCAAATAAGTGAATCACTCATCATTAGTTAATAACTTTATAACTCTTGACATAAGGGTGAAGAAGGGGGTTTGAAATAGCTAAAATGTATAAATTATCCGATTAACTTTTAATTTTGACAATTCTTATAAGAAATGTACAAGAATCTAAAGTTATATAACTATATAAGTGAAAGCTATAATATTCATAATTACCCTATAAAAGTATAGGTTTTTTTTAAAAATTATTTTTTTATTTTTTTTATTTTGAAAGTATAAAAGTAAAATAGTTTGAGTACAAATCGAGCAGCCGAAAAAATAAATGTAAATAGTTATCGAATAACTATTGTCAACATTGATAGTTACTTCCAAGTGCTCATATCTTCCAATTCCCATTTCTAAGAAACAGTATAGTGCCCAATTCTTCCTACCTTATCTCCAACATATAAAAATCTTTCTCCACTCACAAATACACTCAAAACACTCCTACACAACAATGGCCTTACTCACACAAAACCATCATCTCTTCACTCTCTTCTTCCTCTTAGTAAAACTACTGCTTTCTACGTCTGAGTATAGTCAATCTCCAATCATACTTCAGCCTTACATTATTGATTATCGCAACGATACCGTTTTGAGATACAATACTACCTCCCCACCCTCCATTGTCCCCCCTCCTAATGACTCTCATGTGCAATCCAAAGACATCACCTTCCCCTCTTCTTCCAACCAAGATCTCGGGGCTCGGGTTTTTCTTCCAGCCCATCCTGACCCGGCCCGAAAACTCCCTATTCTTATATACTTCCATGGGGGAGCCTTCTGCATTGGCTCCCCATTCTTCATTGGTGATAGTGTTTTCGTGGCTAGGGTCGCAGCTGAGGCCCGGGTTCTTGCGATAGCAATAGACTATCGCTTGTACCCGGAGTTTAAGGTACCTGCCCCTTTTGACGATGCATGGGCTGCCTTCATGTGGGTGGCAGCCCATGCGTCGTCTAGTATTGGGCCTAGTCATGAACCGTGGCTATCCCAGTACGGAAATTTTCAAAATATCTATGTTGGAGGGGACAGTGCGGGGGGCACTATAGCTCATAATTTAGCACTCCGGGCCGGGCTTAGCCTTGGCCCACGCTTTACCGGTCTATTCCTAGCCATGCCTTATTTTCTCGGGTCAAAGCGGGTTCCACTTGAGCCCGATAGCATCGCGTCCTCTACCAATTATATAGTATGGTCTTATGTTTGTGACAATTGTACCCACGGAGTTGATAACGCGTTCATTAACCCATTTGGGCCCGGGGCCCGAGCATTTCCCATCTCGGGTGTAAGAAGTTGTTGGTGTACACAGGCGAGGTGGATGAGCTTCGGGGCCGTGGGATATTGTACTACAAACGGGTCAAGGCAAGTAAATGGGCGGGTCAGGCCCGATGGATCGAGGCCAAGGGAGAAACCCATGTATTCCATATACTGAAACCTGAAGATCCAGCAACAACTACATTGATTCAGGATTTGTCAGCCTTTATCAACACTGATTGAAGCTTTTGTCGTTGGGATCCGAATCATCATATTGTATAGTACTTTTTTTACTTTGCATTTTTGTCATGAGATTACCTCATTAACAAATTTCATTAATTAAGGGATCGTAATCTCTACCTAAGTCATGAATCATGATACACTTCAATAATAAAAAGGTTCTGTAATTGCATTGGCCTGAATGTGTGTTAATTATAACAAATACATTACACATTTACACTATAATGTCTACTTATATTAGATGTTACACGCAAGGTCAATGAGCTTACTAAGAGTAATATGTGAAAGCTCAAATTTTCTTTTTGGGATTTAGTGAAAGCTCGAATTTTACTTAGACCCTGTTCTCATCAGATTAATTTCACTTCAGTTCAGTTCAGTTTAACTTTCCTTCTCTCATAAAATATTCATTTTAATTCAGTTCAGCTCTAATAAGTTCAGTCTAACTCATTTCAGTCAATGAGAACATGCCCTTATTATATTTGAAGTATGAATACTTACTTGATCATACTTCATGTGTTAAAATGAACCGTGAGTATCACTTAGTATTAAGAAAGGTTGCTTTTTTTTTTTTTTTTTTGGCACAAAGCATGCATAAAGCATAATTATAGCTTTAAGGATTAAGCAGTCTTGTTTAGGTCTTCTACCTTTATTCTTACAAATTTCAATTGTAGTGGAATTTTCTTTTTGTTTTTTTGGCACTTCTTTTCTTCCTTCACTTTTTAAGTTGGTGCTCAACATACTATTCTTTCTTCTAGAAAGCTTTACCTTTTTTTTTATTCTATGGGGTTGCAATATATTTCTCATGTACTCATATTGTTTTGCTATCATCTAGTATCAATGCAACTATAGAATTACCTTCACAATTTTGGTGCAACAATTTACGACATATATAATTATAATACACACCTTATAAAACATCTTTCTAGCTAGGTATATTTTTATCCCATACATTTTATCTTAATTCCTTTTTAATTCAAGGCATGGCTAAGCATTATCACATGTATAGCTTTCTATTTTAGCATATTGTATGATTGTAATCAATAAATTAGGCCAGCTCGATTTATTTCCTTCTTATCTTGATTTCCTTGCAAATTTTGAGTTTTAAAAAAATGAGTATCGTACTATCAGTGTATCAAATTTGAAATAATCGTAAAATTAACAAAGGTTTGATCCAAGCCCAAATTTAATTCACTTGCATTATATACTCGCAATAAACCTAAACATCCCCAAAATAACTTAACTTGATCAACTTATTTGACATATGTCGAAATAAAACTAATCCAAACTATATTTTTTTTAAGGTAAGAAAAAGAAAAGAATTAGGACCCCCTCCTCACGAGGGGTGATCCTAAAGCATCTGATGTGAGAATAGGGTATAAAGCTGAAGAGGTACAGAATGGAATATCCAATTTGTCGGTGATAATATGCCCAACATTTGCTATCCAATCTGCTGCTCTATTTGCTTCTCTGTAGACATGCCGGAGTTCCCAATGGGGGAATCTGTGAAGCAAGATCTTGATATCTTCTATAATGTGATCAATTTGCCATGGGGTCGACCAAATACCGTTTACTGCGTTGACAACTAGGAGGTTGTCCCCTTCAATGTGAAGATTTTGTATTCCTTGCTGGAGGGCGAGAATGATTCCCTTGTGGAGGCCAAAAGCTTCAGCGACGAAGACGTTGGTGGTTCCAAGGTTGAAATCTTGTGCTGCAATGGGTGTACCTTCACTATCTCTGATGATGACTCCTGCTGCTGCTGAGTTGTTTTTTACCGAACCGTCGAAGTTGAGTTTGAAAGAATTGAGAGGAGGTGCCTCCCATGCAACCAACTGAGTGTTTGGGTGGTTTGAGTGAGGTAGATGATAGGTTTGAGATCTCTGCATTGGAGACCCCGAGCTTAAAGAGGTATCTATGAGAATACGATAATTCCACTCTTCAAATGCAAGTTGCGCTCGGTGGAAGGTTCTAGAGATGCTAAAAATCTCATTCTTGAAAATAATAGAGTTTCGTTCCTTCCAGATACTCCATAAAAGGAAAATAAATCTTCGGAGGGCGGAGGTGTTTTTCCGAAGCGTAGATAATGTCGTTATCAAGTCTGTGGGTGGGAGTGTACCAGGAAACCAGTTTTGAGTTAAAGTGTTGTTCCAAATTTCTTTGGCCTTATCACAAGTAAGAAATAAGTGGTCGTGAGATTCCGGATAGGCGGAACAAAAGGTGCAATGATTGAAAGGAATAATATTTCTTTTATAAAGGATGTCTCTAACTCCAAGACCATTATGCATTATTTGCCATAAGAAAATTTGGAGTTTAGGTGGGATGTCCAATTTCCATATCCAACGATGGGGCCATTTTACAGAATTTGGCTCTAAATCATGTGCTATCCATGTAGCCGACTTCACTGAAAAATTTCCCGAAGGCGTAGGGCCCCATACTGGTGTGTCAGACAATTGAGAGTTAGGTAAGGGAATGCCGATGGTTAGCTGTACAATATAATTCGGTAATAAAGAACAAAGCTTTTGTTTATTCCAAGTTCGGTCGAGGAGAATAAATTCTGCAACCTTTAAGTTAATGTTGACTTGGTGGCCTTGTAACTCTAAGGCTTTTAGGAGACTCTTGTTCATCACCCAGTTGTCTAGCCAGAAATAAATGTCATTGACATTGCCAATTTTCCAACGAATGCCTTTGCGCAGAATTTCCCTCTGTGCAA